CATCCGCCGGCCCGTGAAAAGACACATCAGCTGCAAAGCAGAAACAACAAACGACAACAACGCCCGCCACAGACCAACAAGTACATTCAGCAAGCAAGCAGCCCTTCTTAACAATCTTAAACAAGCCTAAACGATGCACAGCCCTTAACATGAGAGCTGAGCCAAAACCAGCAGTAGCAGCAGCAGTAGCAGCAGCAGCAGCAGCAGCAGGAGCAGCAGCAGCAGCAGCAGGAGCAGGAGGGGCAGTAGCAGTAGGAGCAGTAGTAGTCGTCGTCGTCGTCGAAGGAGTAGTAGTAGTAGTAGTAGTAGTAGTAGCAGTAGTAAACCCTAGGCTGTTCAACTCGGAAAACCTGACGGCTGCATCCACAATATCTTGTGACATCAAGGGCCGAATTCAGAGCGTTGTCCTGGATGAAGAAGATGAAGAGAATATGTCGGATAGGGGTGGGAATTTTAAAAGCGGCGAAGGCTTACCACAGCCAAGTCACGATATGACCGTCGGCAGCATCTCGTGACAAACTTCGTTTCGCTCAGCGGAGCCCCTGCTGGCTTTGTGGGTCGAGACCTTGAGAGGTTAAGTTCATGGATTGAGGTTATCTGAAGAGACACCTGCATATTCATAACCCATAGCATGCACACCGCATTCAGGACATGCTCTCATGCTAAGATCACCGACACAGCGCCAGCAAAGCAGCTGAAGCCAATGCCGTCCAAGTCTGAGAGGAAGTGACACTGAGGCCTTTTGTATCAGACCAAAGGGTTTAACGAGTTTAGGGTTTATTTGAACCCCTCGCGGAGGGCTAAACCTCCAATTCATTAAAACCCTGGTAAACCCTCCGTGGGCCCGCGGCTCTGTCCTCGGCCGCGCGAGCCAGCCGCAGACCGAAACTCAAAATTCAAACTTGAAACTTCCGAACTTTTCAAACTCGAAACTTTCAAACTCTCAAAGTCCAAAACTCTCAAACTTTTTGAAGTTTGAATTCGAGACAGTCGAGCTCGAAAGTTCGACGAGTTTGAAAAATCTAAGTATCACGCCGGCTCTCTTGTGCATATCAAGCTGCTCAAACTTTCGAACTGCAGCACCTTTCGAACCTTCAAACCCTTTCAACCTTCAAACATTCGAAACTTCGAGTTGCAACGACCTCGCTCGGGACACCATTCTGATCGCGGGCATAATCTCGACTCGAAGGTCAGTGGCACGGAACTCCACAATGCTAATTGGCACCCGAAAGAAAAAGGCTCATCCCATCAATGTCACCCTGACGGAATTTTCGGCTTAAGTTGTCAGATGCGTGTGCGTGTTCTTCGTGAGTCCTCAAGTTCCGACACCTCAGGGGCATTTCGTAGCCTCAGATTGCTGTGACTTGGACCAAGCAAAACCAGAAGAATTGTTGCCCAACGGTGTGAGCTGCGACTTCTTGTTTGCTGCAGGCACAGCATTCTTTCTCAGAATCGGTTCATCTCAATGTCCAGGCCCACCTTCGTGCCACTGCGAACCTTCTACCGCAAACCGGGCACCCTGTAGTCTTCACTGTCAGGCTTTTTCTAATCTGGGAGTCGCGAAACCAAGTAAACAATTGATGTTACACATCGTGAACAACGTATCGTATTGCGCATTGTCGTGTCGAGTCTAGGATTGGTGAACGCAATAGTCAATGCGAAGAACTTCGCAGCTCTTTGCCTTTGCATGCAAACTGTCGGCAGTATTTCGTGGGATTCGGCCTCTCATCGTGGCGAAGAGCTAGACATCTGGGGTGGGAGCGGCTACTTCTTGCGAACGAGCTCGGGACAGCCCGACAGTGACAAGTGCAAGCGGAAAGCTTTTGGCATCCACATGTCAGCCAGGCACGATGCGGACGTCCAGCTGAGCCCAATGCTGCGCAGTTGGCTCAGTTGTCTTCCTCTTCACTTGGCTCGTCGCTCGCTTCGTCTCCTGCTGACTCGCGGTCTTGGAGATCCATGGGCACCACAAAGCGGCTGGACTCCTGGATTGCCAGAGATTCACTCTGGAATTCTGTGGCACTGTCGCTCACATTCTCACGCCCTCTTCCTTGAAGTAGCGCTTGAATCGATTCTTGGCGCTGTCCAGACGGTCCAAGCCGCCGAAAGGCCTCCACCGAACTCAGAGAAGTGAAAGCGACGTGAAGCAGCGCAGTGAAGGCAAGAGGGCTGGGCAAGGGCACGGCCTGTGGATTGGTGGCTTTGGAACCCCAGGGCTTGTCTCTGGGTGAACCTGCCAGGGAGCTGCGCCTGGAACGATGGCTCCTTGCTCCACTGGGCTCCGACCTGCCCGGCCGGCTGCAGCATGTCAGCGGGTGCCTCATTGAGAGCAGCAACGACTCCACTAGAGTCGAGACAGTCCACACTCTAGACTCCTAACATCTCCTAACTGTCGCTAGATGTCGCTGGGGACACCGCGGCCGGGGCGGTGCCTCCGGCGACACGCTCACCCTCATGACTCTTCGATGCAGTCTGGCTCCCGGCCGTGAAGTGGCAGGCGCTTTCCATCGCGGCGACGGAGCGCATGGGACTTGCCTTCCGGAGGCAGAAGTGCCTTGACCTGATGCCAAGAGCACAGATCAACTCAGGAGGACGACGATGATAATTCGACTTTTCGGGCTCCCAGCGAAAGGTCCACGAGGGATGACGAGAAGTCCGCGCTCGTCCACAATACGCTTTCGGCAAGTGAAGGCCGTCTTCTGAGATCGGTGCGAGACAAACGACTGCTAACTGCTGCCTACCTAGCATCGTGCAAACGCACACCTCAATGAAGTCACCGGGCAATCTAAAGTAGACCTCAATTGCAACAGAACTGCAGGAGTAAATGAGCTTCTCTCCGGGCCCAAGGCTGTGCTCCCTGTCCTGTCTGCATCCACCCGTGCAATTGTGTCTGGCACGAACGGTACGTAGACGACCTGATCTTTTTCCGATGCTCTTGAGGTTCCGAAATTGCGGCATTCGAGTGGAGGGCCCGCTCGAAGTTGGGGTCTGCGGTCCTCCAGCGGTCCATCTGGAGCGCCCTGACTGCAGAAATTGACCGAATGTAACACAAAAGTATCGCGCATGGATCGACTGAGCCCGCTACTGGCCCGTGGGCGACTCCTTGAACAGGCCATCCCAAGTCACAGGCAAGTGCAACACTGGTCTCTCAGTAAGGGACCGGATCAGGCTCGTACAAATACTGGCCCTCGCCTCCCTGCACCTGCAATGCAACTGGCGAAATGCTCGTTGTGAGGTCCGTTGCATCGGGTCCTCGTTTATCAATGTGATGTCCAGAAGGTCGTGTGCTGCCTCGGGGCAGATCCACGTGCAGCCTTGAGCTGAGCGAAACTTGGAAAGCTGCTGTCGCGAACCACGCCTTTCGGCCGCGATGCCGTCGTGCGATCTTGTAGTCCGGCACCTCCGAAAAGCTTTCGATCAAGGCTTCCTGGCGCTCCCCATATCTGCCGATGCTGCGCCACGGCAGAGACATCGCCGAAGTGCTGGAGGCCAGCACCTGCCTGAGCCAGGACCTTCCGGAGCAAAGCCGACTCCGAAGGCAGCGTCCAAGCCCAGGAACAGCCCAAGCATCCCAAGCGCCTCCTTGGCTTCATCTGCAGTCTCAGCTGCCGCAAACTCGCCCAGGACCTCATCGGTGACCTCTTTGACACCGCAGAGCCCGGCTCAGAAAAAACGGGCCTTTTCCATCTTGCCTGGCCAGTGACCATGACGCACCTGGAGCCGATCAGGCCCAGTGCGTCGCCTCGGACATCGCAGTTTCCGAGACAATGAGGAAGCCATGCAACTAAGGTCGCGAACTGGTATGGAAGGTGGTCGTCCCTGCATCGTACAGATCCAGGCCCCTTTCCTCTTGCTCCTGCAAAATGGAACATGAAACGCGACAGTCACATGTTGCCTTTGATAAAAAGCAGAGTCGCGGGCAACCAACGCTCCAGGACTGAAAATCAATACCCTTGCAGAGACTCCGGAGCCATCAGTTTGCCGATGTTTTATTTGGCTGCAGGAGCAGCTCTTCCTACTTCTGCACAACAGCATAGAGGCAAATACGTGCAGCAGGGCACAAGTAAAACACACCAACACTGATGAAGTCTTTGGGGCCTTCGCAAATTGAAAATGCCCTCGACGAACACTCATCATGGTTGGCTTCGGCTCCAAAATAGCTTCGAGTGTCGGATTCTTGTCCATGCTTACTTAATCCACGCAGCCGCTGGCAAAAAGGTGGTGACATGGACAAATGTCAGCCGTTAGTCTTAGTTATCTCAACAAGTTCCGATTTACACATGTAGGACTGAAGTCTCCTTGGCCTTCTCCTGTGCCGTCGGTGGTGGCTCTAAACTCAGTACCGGCAAGGGCCGGGCAGGACAAGCAACGGCGGTCCGAAAGATCTTCTCGAGGGTGTGACACGTAGACTTTGTAGCCCCGCAAGGCGACGGCCTGTAGCAAAGATCCGATCACATATTGCGCGGTGAAATCGGGGAATATGACGTGCGGCTTGTGAAAAACATTGACGAACGAAGCGTCCTGGACTTGCGCCGAGATGAGAACTTAATGGTCCGCCTAAAGAACCTCGAGCACAGTCGAATAACCTCGAATGCATTTGACTATGCAGGGCAGGGCAGGGCAGGGCACAGGGCGCAAGGCAGGGCACACTGGCTCGACCGGTGGAAAGATGTTTCCCATCGTTGCTTCTCAACTCAAAATCCCGGGCAGTTGCACGGGAAGGATCGGCCGGTTCGCCTTCCTGTGTGAGTGGCAAGGTATTTGCGTTTTCCTCGAAAGCGCGGCGCAAGGCTTTTACCATTGAAATGGTTTGGATGGAATGATGAAATGACGTTGATGCGAGGCTATGTCTAGGCGGTCGCGAGGGTGCATCGAATGATGTGAAGTCTTTGAAGGGCTGTTTTGGTTAGCTTTAAAGTTTTCGTAAGGTTGCCTCTTATGTCTGGATTGATCCATTGAGCTCACGGGACAGACAGGGTTAGCGGTTAACGGGTATCATACCGCCAGGGCTTGGCCCGTACAGGGGGAAGTGCTTTGGTCATACCATGTCACACCAAAAGCGCGCTGCGCATGTGGCGCCGAAACGAGCCGTGTTCGCAATTGGCATCCCTGTCGATGGCCGTTGCGTGTTCGAATGCTCCGGTATGTGATCCATTGTAAGATCCTAAACATGTTGACCTCGAAATGACCATAGGGTTCCTGGCGTTGATTTTAAAATCGGAGACAAGCATGCTCGGCTTAAGAAAGCGGACGGGCTCTTTCAACACCCCAAAATCCTGTAGGCTGAGCTACCACACACGACCTGTCAATCGTGAGGCACTTTGCTTGCCTCGTCCCAGCACAGCTTCTTCGGACACGATTTTAAACCGACCGGTCAACATGAATTTTATCAACGGCTGTTCGTGAGCACCTATTGATTGGCCTTGGTCAAGTCGTGCGCGGGGTTCTCGTTGTGGGGAATCCTGCGAATTCCAGCGAAGACGCCTCCCCGGGACTGCTCGGCTGTGGTGGCGTCGTAGAGGCTCTTCGTGTCCACCACTCCCACCACCATGGGGTCTGTGTAGCTCTCGTCCTCAGCCAGGATGACGATTCCTTCGCCGCAAAATCCTCGCTCTTCGTCTTCGTCTTGGGCCATCTGATGAGGGTCGAAATGCGACAATGTGATTGACCACCACATGGCCACCTCTCTTTCGAAAGCTCCCACAGTTAATCCGGGAGGCTTTGCGGCGCATCGCCGCGACCTCCATCCCATCCGTGGTGACGCCTTCGTTGAGCGTGGACGTCGTGATTCCCGGCAGCCATGTTTTGGCTTGTCCACACCCTTCGTCTCGAAGGAGCTGTCTGCCACCACGACATGCCCCACTGGCGGCTCGGGAATCGGGTGGATGTGCAAAACAACTGGGTGGTTCCTTAGCCGCTCGCGGCCTTTGGCGAAGATATGCGAAGATTGATGCCACTAAGCTAGCGTGAGGACGCCCCTCGCGTGCAACCCAATCTATCCAGGCTATCGTTCCACAAAGCTGGGCTTCTTCGTCCGTTCTTGTCTCGTCCTTAGCTTAGCAACACCATCGAGTGAATCGATGCACCGGTCAGAACAGTTGAACCTGTCGTCGAGACCGCGCACCAGGATTTTCAAGAGGGATCTTTTGCACTTGCACCAGGCCTGGAAACTAAATCCGTACACCCCAGTCTCCAAGACCTTGAATTGTCTTGGATCGTATCTTCCGAAGTGCGAAGCTCGGCTAGAGTTGTCGTAGATGTCGCCTCTGCCGCCCGTGAGAGCCACCAAAGCTGGGCGATGCTCATTCAGCATTCTCGGGCCTCCCTGCAGTCTGCATTGATTCTGTGGAGTCATAGTTCCAGCCCACCGCCAGATCGAGTGCTGCTTCGCCACTCTTGCCACTGAGAACACCTCCCTGGTTTCACTTTGCTTGGCGAACCACTCTCCCTTCAGCATGCTTTGGTCCTCGGGTCGCAGTGTCAGTCGGGCTCCCCGTAAATCAGCAAGCGTAGCACACCGAACTTGATCTCGTGGAAAGTATAGCTTCTCTGGCTGCTCTGTCCGCTGGTCAGAGATGGGAGACCAGTACAGCAACTACAGGTGGTCTCGAGGCGGCCCAAACATCTCACCCAAACCACGCATAATGCCCATCTCGGCCGAGGTGAGCAGCACCGGCATGGAGTTCACGAGCCAACCACGTCTGTTGAGTTTCGTGAAAGCTTCCGGGACGGGGGGGTTTGAGGGGGTTCTGGCTGCTTGGGCCGCCAACATCTGATTTTCCCGTTTACGGCTAGGACTGGCGATGTTTGGGCCCAGTTTGAGCCATGGCTCACGATTTCGACGCTTCAAAGGGA